GATGAATGATCTCATAATGGGTCTAAAACTTTGAGTATGACTATAAGAAGTTATAGCTATAATTTGCCTGGCACATTATGACTAGCATTGCATGTAAAAATGCTATCAAATATTTAAAAAAAGATATTCCTGTGGAATGGGACACTACCTGTATATTGTGACATTCTGATAGCATTCGGTTATTCAGTTATCTTACTCCTGTTACTCTAACACCTCAATGTGATTTACAGGTTCCAAATAAGGTCTTACATACAACTTTCTTCATTGTATGGACAATGGTACTGCCCACAGGATGGCGGGCTTACTCTCTATGCTTCAAAGCTATCTAAAGACAAGACAGTAAGGTATTCATTAAACTTCTAAATACTTGTAGAGACCAAACCACAACACTACAACTTTTGTCTGCTGAATGACTCTTATAACTGAATCACTATTATAATACTGTTCAGAAATTAAGCTTTATTGCCTTTACTACAATATACAACAAAGTATTATTTCTTTCATTGATTAAGATTTTAATAGCTATTTACAGTGTTCCACCCAGCCTTCCGATGAGAGAAAATGCAAACGTGACTCAGAGCAGAATAACTATACCCGTGTAATTAAGTGCTTACTCAGAAGACTGGGATGGCGAAGGAGACCTTTCCAATGTCCTGGGCAATGTAGAAGAAACTGGCAACAACGGCTCTCGAGGAATTCCCGATGGAGTAGTGTTTGTACTTGCATCCACATTAATGTTCTGAAGGAGGAAAAAAGGCACAGAAGGAAATCATAATATCCAATTAATATGGTTTTCCTGAAAATTAACACAATCAGGAAAGAGTTTGCAAGTTGATTTATAACGGTAAATTAATGATAGGAAGATACAGAAGGATCCAATATATGTATTGTAACAAATAAGTTTTTTCTTTTACAATTATTTAGAAACACAGACAAATAAATCACACATCGTGGCTCTTCTCCAGAAAGTTTGGAGCTTGGTTCCCTTCGGAACACATCTGGATGACAAAGATCACTTCTTTCAACCTGGGAATTTTGCACCTGCTGGTGCCAAAGCAGGCTTTGTGCCTGTTCACATAACCACAGTTAGCCTATTAAGACAAAAGTCTCCTAGACTTATGCACTAAGAACTGTCTTCAAAGCTGTAACTCTGTATCATACCTATAATGGTGCTAAAAACCCCTAACCTTAAAAAAAAATAAAAATGATATGGATATGACCTTCATTTAAAAGTCCATTTCTTATGCTATCGTGTGATTTGCTACCAAGCAAAAGAGGCTTTTTCCATAGCCCTCAAAAGATTCTGTTAGCACCACGTGACACTGCTCTTCCAGATAAGGGACAGGTTCAAGATGCACGCATGAATTTAAAATTGTCACAAATTAAGAGAAGAGAAACAAGACTTTGTATCTTGAAAGAGGTATTTCTGCAATTTATAATAATTTTGTTTGTGTTTTAAAAAATGCTAAGGTATTTGTATTGCTTCTGACCTGTCTGACTCTAGAACCAAAACAGATTCCGGTAAGCAAGAAGGAGAGCACTGGGAGAATACAAGCACAGAAAGAACAAGATAGGCACCCCTTTCCCCCAGCCCAGCCACCATTCAAAGGTCATAAAACGTGGGACTCCTGTGGTCACTGTTAGAAAGGAAAATGGTATTTGATGACACTGTTTTAAACCAGGCAGCATAGATTATTGCAGTGGATCTAAGCCTAGTTTTACTCCAAGAAAAAGTAAAACTGTAAAAGGTGGATATTTAGAAAGAAAAGAACAGCTTTTACAGCTTTACTCGCTGTAATAGCGTGTGCAAAGGCTTGAAATTGCACGTTGCTGAGCATTCTAGCCCAAGTTCATAAAAATTTGTAGGTACAGGGTTAAGTGTGAATAGCTTCAAGTCAAGCAGACATGCAAGCGCTGTTCCTAGGCCAAAACGCTCAGCCCCTGATCCGACAGCTCTGCAGTTTCCCAGTTAGAAAATGTGGGATGATTAACACCTGCCATTCCCCAGAGCTACATCTAGAAGAGCACCACAAAGCAAAGAGCATAATGATGGCTGGATAACAACTGTTGGAAATTACACAACCTCAGTTCACTCAGCTTCTGTGCACTGGACTTGCCCATCTATAAAACAAGAGTAGCACTGTGTAACTCTACTTCAGCACTTTGTAACTCTACATCAGGTGACATGAAAAAAACGTTGAGATCGAGGTGAAAAGCAGCCTGTATACATTGGCAAGATTCTAACCTTAACTCAAACGTGTTGGTAACAGAACACAATCGCTCTTTAGAGCCAGCTGCTGTTATCTTATTCTTTATTAACGCCAACAAGGAAGGACAGCGCAATCCCTTTCTTCCACACAATGGTACAGACTAACTCATGCAAGCCGGAAAAAGAAATTAGGAAAAATCAAAGCAAGCTTTTTAATGTGACAATGCAATGCACTGTCATAACACCTCAGTGCCTGACTGACAGTAAGGCTGCCTCTACAGGGGAGAAGTGTAAGTTCTTTACAATAAGTACAGGGCAAAGCAAGTACTAGATTCATACTGGGAAGAGCAATGGGTTTTCAGCTGCAGTATCGATAGCGAGTGCTGGAATTATATTTAAAATCTGAAATATGATAGTTAAAAAAACACTTCAGAAATAATAGAGGTAAAATACTTTAAAAATAGACAGACTTTGGCCAAGAACAGACTACAATCTGGAGTACTGTCTGACAGTAAGTTAAACACTGCTATTATCATGGCACTGTCCTGCACATTCTCCTAAACACAAACACTGGAGTGTGGGTGTCCACTTGCAGGACACACAATGGCTCATCTGCACAATCACTGCTTTGGGTACAGGCTGCCCTGCCGCTTCCTCTTTCCTTTACCAAAAAATACTCTCCCTACCCACCCCTGATACGTGAGCACCAAAGAAAACACTTCTGTAATAGACTGGTTTTAGAGAAGAGACATGAGAGAGATTTTGGTGTTTCATCAGGCTGCTCTGCACTGCCATATCCAGGGGTTAACTTCTTCAGTTGTGGTACAGCTAGAAAAACACAAGTTAAAGTAGAGCTAGCAAAAAAAAGTCAATATAGATTTCCACAGCCTAGACTGTTGCGTAGTGCACAGGGTTACATGAGTCTTGGAGAACATACTGTCACTCACAGATGGCATGGTAGAGACAGTTCTAAGAATGAAATCTACGAACAGATACTCAACATTAATTTTCAACTGCATCTCTACTACATCTACAAAGCAGTGGTTGCCAAGTCATTCTGGTATATTTTTATCTTTCCAAGCAATATGACAAGACAACACTCCGATCCAGCTGGTTTTGGTAACAGTCCTAGTTCCAGCTATGATGCCTAGTGTGCTGAATTATGTAGGCAGCTTCTTTGTATTTCAGTGCTTACAAGTTTGTCTCTGTCACTTTGAAGTGTTTTATATACAACTCAGAAGTCTGACTTCCAAACAGGAGAAAAATTTATCATGTATTTTTCACCTGAGTCTATCAAAAAGCCTAAAGCAATTATGAACAGCAAAGAGCGTATTTTCTAATCTCTGCTACTAACATCTACTTAAATGGTGCTCATACGCAACACCATTTCAAATTCTAAGATATAAGTGATGAAGGCAGCAGCACATCATTTGACAGCTGTTTTTTAAAAGCATTTCTTATGACCATGTAAAATCACCAGTTTTTTCTATGTATAACCCACCAAATCTGAAAACAAGAGAGATGCAATTCTTTGTTTCCCCAACAAAAATGAACACTGGGTACTCACTCTTTCTTTTGATGTTCCTATTACCACACTGGACAGTCTGTTTTCAAAAAGGTCTTCGGTCTTTAAATTGCCGGCAGCCCCAGGTAATGGAGGAAAGCTAGATAAACCCAATTCAAAGCTAGGAGATGGAGGTTTTGGGGGTGGTGGAGACTGTGTTTGGCCTCTCTGGAATAGAAATAACATATTGAGGTTACTGCACTGGATGACAGAAGAGAACAACATGAGACTCCAAACTGTATTTTACATTTGATTTAAATCTGTGAAGCCCTAGAAGCCTTCCCCATCCCGCCTCCCCAAAAACCCACACGGTACCAAGGAATAGGAACATTTTCCACTGTTGCCCTTAAAATATTTAACCATTATTTAAATGGCATGGTATAAGCATCCTTAAAATTTTCATATGCATAAGCTTTTGTGACACTGGTATAATAACAAAAGTTTTCTCACTGACCCTTCTTTCAGGATGGACACTTACACAGACAGGAAAACAGACTGATTTAGATAATCAATATACAGTGAAAATATAAAGCCCAGTTACGTGCAGTTGGTAACATTCTAAATGAAAGACAGGAGTCAACAAGAATCTTATACCATGTTCAGATATATTAAGAAACAGCAAGACAGCATGCCTTGCATGTAGTGTAGACAATGGCAACTATAATCTAATTAACATGAGTTTATATGGTTGCTTTACAAAAATGCAAAGATAAACGTCAAAACTATTTTTGAAACAGGGAGAATTTTTCTAATTAAATCTAAGAAGAAAAACAATGTCCCAGGCAAAAAAAAAACCAAACTAAAAAAACTGCCAATGGGCTAAATGCAACTATTTTGCACTAGAGACAGCAGTTCAGGAGTTAAGAGTACCACAGTTAAAGATCACTCATAAGGACTGGTAAAGCTAAATTCTATTTACACTGAAAAAACACAGTTCCTTTTGTAATATGCTGTGAGTGAAGTTAGCCATTAACTTCATCTACATCATGTAAACAAAGAAGTAACTGTTTCATGACTGTGCTCAGGCCTGTGCTAAGATTATCTCTGCTGCAGAATACCAAACGCAAAGCAGCCTCTGTGACAATTCCCATCTTGAAAAGGAAAATATTTACGGGTATGTAGCCAAGATGACCTGAATGCGAGAACAAGGCTTCTGGACAGAAAGGTGTTGTGTTACTTAGTGTTTTTTCCCCTTCCTTCTCATGAAGAGCAACAGATACAAAACTACATTTGAGGTCTTTTCACAAACTCCATCTTACGGCAAAAGAAGTGTGTGTTGAGAGGGAAGTAG